CTTCAGGTAATGGATCGTCTAGTTGGGGGATCCTATTGGTCGACACGAGGTGGTAGGAAGTTTTATGTAGAAGAGAAAGAACTGGATGCTGCCCGATGGCGGAGCCACCGAGATTTCCTATTACAGTATATACCCATTGTTATGCGAGAGGGGATAGGCCAGTTGGTTGTTGACAATGGCAAAGCTGTAAACCTGGTAAGGCTTAATTCGGAACACATTTAGCTTTTTCAGGCGCGAGAGCGCGAGTCAAGTTAGATATGGTAGAGGAGGGAGATGATTCGGCGAATTTCGGTGTTGCGAAGGATCCACAGGGCCGGGACCCACAAGGATCGGGGCCACACGGCTCGAATTCGACGGCCGGAACGTAGCAATTGAGGAAGTTGAAAGCATCGTGAGATCAATTAAGAGCCATAAACAATTGATAATTGGAAAAGGATCTACATAATAGTTTGCTTTAGCAGTCAACTATCTCCTGTAAAAAAACTCATCATAATGAGCAGACCCCTTAAAGCAGGAGAAAAGTGGTGTCGTAAGGGTTGAATCACATTCGATTATGGGCGTTCCTCGAGCCGCAAATTCCAAGGGTCCCACTCTCTTCAGCTTAAAAGCTAAGGAAAAGCTAAGGACCCACAGAAACAAAAAAACTCAGTACCGGGCTTACTCGATTCGGTAAGACCCAAGAGAACGGAAGCCAGTCAATCGATCGATAAAGTCTCATTTACCGGTTTGAGGTTTCATTTTTCCCCTTGTGCGACTTCGTAAGGGTTTTTAAACACTAGAACACTAACGTAAGACGGTATCGGTATGCAGCTATTAATATAGTTAAGACGAACTGGCAGTTTTTTGCAATAGTATCATCGTCGACTGTTTTCTGCTATTCTTTCTTTTTGACATACATTCAACAGTGGAAAAAGTTCAAAACAATTAACGGTATCTTATCGACAAATGCAGAAACGGGCTGAACCGGTGCCGCTAACGATCTCGTTGTGGGCCCCTGATAAATAGGATGACGGGGATAGCAATTACATACTTTTGTCGGGAATGCCCTAACCTAGGTGATCCTTCTTTCTTACATGTGCTCCTAACGTTTCTATAGCAATATGAGAAGGCTTGGCGGTTTAAAATACCTCTCTTCTCCAACAGCGACTTCGGGTGATGAGCCGTCGAAAAGAGGGCCGTGAAGTTCATGATCTCATTCACGCTTATCATCTGCTTAAAGCTCATCATCATTACCAGCTACGTTTAGCACGTTCTGTCGATGAGCTAAGTTCAGTTACATCGTCTATGAGATACATACGACAGACCATTGCAGCTCTGGGAATTCATACCTCCAATGGCGAATGTACACTACAGGATTCACGACGCGTATTTTTCGACATCGACTAGGGCAGGGTAAGGCATGGAAGAAAGAGCCGTGACATAATGGATCCAGTTAGCCAAGATGCAGTAACCGATGGGAAGGGACCCTCTTAGTGGTCTCGGCGACGCTACCTATTCGCCGCCAAAGCTTATTGGAGAGCTTGTCTGGCCCGAGCGGCGTCGAAAGCTTGAAACGGGCTTACCTAAGGGTAAAAGCTAACCCGGGAATAAGGGAAACTTGTATCCTCGGCAATAAAGAGAGCTTGGCTATCGTCAGGAACAACTTTTAATACTCGCTTCATCATAAAAGTTCGCCCGGCCGGTTAACCAAAAACCCTCCTGGCTAACCACGGCGCTTCACGTACGAAATAATACCCGATGAATCCTCCTTTATAATTCATTTATCAATAGTCACGTCGATATTATTGTCACCTGCCTCGCTTTCTACGCTATGGTATACCCAAACCGGCTAATGGTTACCAGGGGATTATTATTATTTCAACGGGATTTGGCGATCAGAATTCAAAGCAGGACCTAGTGCCAGCACCGCCGTTAGTAAATACGCTACGATATTTGACGATGTGGACTACCACTGCCCAGGTATCGAAACCCTTGTCAGTTGGGCAGCAGCGACACTAGAGCAGAACACGAGTGCTATTATGTAAACGTTGACAGGTAGGTCGAAGTCTTTTAAGATACAAGGCGTGATCGGCCATCTTCTATTAGGGACAGTGGCCTCCAAAGGACGAGGATTGGATACACACGCGGATGGCTCCCCTGAATCTATACGGGAGCTGCCAATGCTGTGCTAGGATACGCCAACGGTAGAAGCCACGAAGGTTCAAAAACCACGTAAAATTCTGAGAGAGCCCTTGGCGAGTATCTTATTATTGGGAATAATGGTGTGATTTATCTATAAATATACGCCTTGCTTGAAGATGTGGAACTGCTCTGCGATATTTACGTCCATCGAGGTATCCTTTCACGTGAAAGAAAATAGGGGCCAGGGTTACTCAAGGTCATACCAATGTATAGGCTGGCAGCCTGGCTAGAACTATTCATCTCTTCGATGGTTATGCAAAGCACTTAGTTTAGTTAGGTACATGTAGGTCATGAGATAGTTCAATAGACCAGCTTAACCCTTAGTCCTTCTACCGTATATGGCTCCAAGTCTTGGCGATCCTAGTTTACAACCCGAGTAGAATACCTAGGTAGCTGTCGGCAAAAAAATCGTCTCGGCTATTAGCTGAGAATTTTCAAGAAGACCTTCTAGGGCTGAAATACTATGCAAATTCCGTGTTATAACCCGCCTGACGTGCCTATCACTTGGATGTTTCAAGCTAGACTTGTAACTAGTAGAGATATAACCCTACGGCTCCCGTGATAGACCTTTATCCAAGGAGTCCAATTCTAGTCTTGATTTCACAGTAAACAGGTTTAAGGTGGTAACCAGCTATCAACTCCGTCAAACTAGCTCCCTAGTGTAACTCTTCATATTAAAGGGGTACACTAACACATTAGCATGAAGAATTCGTATTCCCGAATCTCTGGATTACATTATGCACCAAAAACCACATCATGCGTGTACGGAAACTCATAGTTTAAACATTTACCATTTCATCATGCTCTAGAGTTACATTACGGGAAAGAGACGTTTCGTAAGCAGAGGGGAGATTCAACGAGCCACGGGGACTGGAAGTCAAGTGTACATGGGCTCCAAATATAATACAATCCGAAATCCCTTATACACAAGAGAGCAACGCCAAGATTTTCCCCCATGCCAGCTAAGATAAAGCAAAGCCGAAGATGCCCGTTCTATCCCTCTTGCACACATGGACCAGCCCCTCCCTAAAACAATCCGTGGTCGGGCTTATTGAATGATTCGTGTAATAATGCCGGTTGCGACGGTTCGGCCACCCTCGCGGACGTTGACTTGCTGACCGACCTCGATGGCGATGGGGTGGTGCAGGGTAGCAACCATCTCGACGTTGTCACCGGGCATGACGGCCCTGGACTTGTCCTCGGCGTCCTCGGGGAAGTGAAGGGCTACAGCCTCGTCGGCAGTTCGTAGGTACATCTGGGGTCGGTAGTTCTCGACGAAAGGGGTGTGTCGGCCACCCTCCTCCTTGGTCAGGACGTATAGGGAGACCATAAACTTGGTGTGGGCCTTGACGGTACCAGGCTTGACAATAACCATACCGCGCTTGATATCCTCTCGTCGGATACCTCGCAGGAGCAGACCGGAGTTGTCACCAGCTCGGGATTCGTCGCAGGACTTCTTGAAGGTCTCGATATCGGTGACCTTTGTCTTGATAATCTCGGAACCCTTGCCGATCAGCTCAACTTCAGCATCCCTCTTCAGGATACCTCGCTCAACACGGCCGGAGGCGACAGTTCCACGTCCGGCAATGGAGAAGACGTCCTCAACGGACATCAGGAAGGGCTTGTCGAGGTCACGCTGGGGGGTAGGGATCCACTCGTCGACGGCCTTTAGGAGCTCATCGATCTTCTCAACACCGATTTCGGGTCGCTTGCCTTCCATGGCCATCAGGGCAGAACCCATAATGACAGGGGTCTCGTCGCCTTCGAAGCCGTAGTGGGTGAGCAGCTCACGCATCTCCATCTCGACCAGTTCCAACATCTCGGGGTCGTCAATGGCATCGACCTTGTTGACGAAGACAACGATTTTCTGGACACCAACCTGACGGGCGAGAAGAAGATGTTCTCTCGTCTGGGGCATTTGACCGTCGGAAGCAGCAACGACAATGATAGCACCGTCCATGTTGGCGGCACCAGTAATCATGTTCTTGATGTAATCGGCGTGACCAGGACAGTCGACGTGGGAGTAATGTCGGTTATCCGTCGAGTATTCGATATGGGCAGTAGAAATGGTAATACCACGCTTCCTCTCCTCAGGCGCCTTGTCGATAGCGCCATATTCTAGGAAGTTTGCCAATCCCTTCTCGGCCTGTCTCTTCGTGATAGCAGCAGATAGAGTAGTCTAGTTTGACATAATTAGTTAAATTCCGGAGGACCCCTCCAACTCTATATAATTTGACATAGTGTAATTTGCTATATGCTCTCAACATACCTTGCCGTGATCGACGTGACCAATGGTGCCGACGTTTACGTGAGGCTTCGTCCTCTCGAAGACGGCTGCGTATGAACGGGTGATGTTGAGGGCCGCGGCTACATTTTGCTGTCGCACAGCAAATTGTAACGGGTTGGCGATGCTGCCGGATCTGAGGGAGTGACGGGAGGCGCGCAAGAATGGCGCGAGGGTGCGCGTAAACGCCGACATGTTGAATTGATTTTACCCTTCAGCCGAAAAGAAAAAAAAACAATTCACACGGAAAGAAGGGACTGGTGCTGAGGGTCGTGGAGGGGGATAAAAAGGACCAAGCGGTATTGAAGATATAAAAAAAGCTCCCACCAGCTGGAAAAATTTCATTGGAAGTTGCTGCGTCGCGTTGATTGGCCACTTGAGTCCACAATTCCTTATCGTGCCATCTTTTATAGAGTATCTGTGCTTGATAAGAGGACTGGTCGGCTTTGGGCTCCGCATTCCAAGCACCTAATCCATACCGATTAAAGTTATATTGACGCCCACATTCTCGGAATTTAGTCGCAGCGCCATGTATTTATTAGAGGGTGTAATTGAATGCCATTGATTGGTCAATCATCTTCTATAGCATAGCTCTAAATGTGATATATTATATGAGCATGGTATAAGGTAACACAACATAAAGTGTCTTATAACAGGTAGTTAAGAGTTTAAATCTAACTTGTTTATATTTATCAAGGTCTTATACCACATTATATGATATCGAAGTCCAGCGCTTCTCCATACTTCTCTACTGCCCATGCCCTTTGACCTTCTACAATAGCATTCACAAACTCGGGGTCGAATTCCGTCTTTCCTAATTCCCGTTCAGGCACGACCCTCCATTTAACCCAATTCGTTGCTTTTGCACCCTCAGGTGCTCTGAAGAGACCTACTGCAATACCAAGCACCTCGCTCTGTTCCGAGGGGCTCCTATCCTTATTCTGGAGGAACACGGTGGCGCCACAGCGTCCACAGAATCCTTTCGTGATTTTCTCTGATACCTTATATGTCTTCATCGTCCCGACGAGCAGACTCGGCGGCACCTCTGGTTCTAACGAGATCCGTGGGACCAGAGCCCAGGGCATGAAATAAACGCTAGAGAGCCATCGAGTATCTTTGTCGAAATCGAGATACGCTTTCCACTTCTGCGGGTCTCCCGGCGCGATAAATCGGCTCATGAATTCATCGTTTTTTACTACATCCGACGGCCTCCCGATCGTGAAAGAAACCCCGCCGCACTGGCACTCCGCGCGCAGTCTCTCCTCGCCGTCCTCACCAATTTCGAGCTCATTATCGGGCGCGATATCACGATCTACGGTGAGTATCTTTAAGCCCTTACTAACCGGACTCGAAATCCAGGACATCAAGCCGCCGTCCCCGGGGGACGTTGGAAACGCTAAGGCCGTCATCTCCCAGAAGCTCGGCTCGTCAAAAAGCGCAATGTCCACGACCCACTGCATAGCCCAGGGCTCGTAGTGCCCATTATGCGTTCCGCAAGTGGGACAGAACCAACGCTGTCCGTGGCCACCGGGACCGCTGCCCTGAGTCTTGTATATGGACAGGTTGACGGTGCCGTTGGTCCACTCCGGCGTCACGCCTTGCGTCAGCGAGACGTGGAAACATCCGAAACTGCCGTGCGAGTATCGGCATAATGTGCATGAACAGATATGTGCGTGCAATGGCAGACTCGAAGCTGGGAGTACGACTGAGTATTGTACGTTCCCGCAGTGACACCTCGCCTTAAATGTCCGTGACTCTTCTCCCGTCTCGGCTGTAGCGGCCTTGTCGCGGTTGAAGAAAGTGACGAGGAGGCCTAACATGTTTGCTTGAGTAAGTCAGACAGATGATTCTATCAAGAGCTTGGTAATGGTAAATAGGTTAAATGTTAGGAATCTTAGGTATCTTGATATATCAATTGCGAGGTAAGTGCTAGGACCGGGACTTGATCCATCAATACCGACTTTTACTTCTGAATCCTCATCAATGTACACGCGACCAATGATATGCAGTGCTGCGGCGGTGTAATACGTAGGCAAGCGATGTCATCTGAGGGGCCTCTGCAAGGGCATATCGTTTTCATCACGAAGACAAAGAGAGCCATGGATATTATGTTGAAGAATGCCCTTGTGCTCATCCACTACTATTTGACATACCTTATCCTCAGCCGAATACGCAATAGTTACCGAAGTCTAACGATTTTCTGATAGAGTTGATCGAAAATTAAAATAAATGGAGTGGCGCTGGATTTATACACATATAAAAACCAATGCACGATTATCATGGCACCACTATGTCGGTATGCGGCCCTGAGTTCCAATCAATGGTCTTTATAGCTTGCTACAGCTAGCTTGCTCCTTGTTCATGAAAGCCAAGTTATCTAGATGCGCAGTTCGGAGCGGATTTCGGTCTCCGAATTGTTGCTGAGATATCGTAAATTCGATAAATCGGTTTCGTAGGTGGCGGTAAGCCTCCATGATCTCCAACTCCTCAGCCGTCTTCCCAATTAATAGTTCGCTTTCGCTGCCGGTTTCTGACTGAGAGCCACCGTTCGAGTTGCGCGTCACAGCCATATCGTTAAGCGACTTCCAAGGCTTTTCATGGCACTCACAAGTTGTCCATTCGCCTTCATCATCCGAATCGTATTTTGGCACGGGCGGCACAACTCCGTGGTTGAGGTATGCTTGGATATGTCCTATAGTGCAGAGTGAGACGCACGCTATGGTGCAGTGGCCCTCCGCCTTTTGCTCTACAAGGCTCGCTTCCGAAAACTTGCGCGTCATTTTCAGAGCATGGTGCAGAGGAGTGACAGGGTCGAGATGATTCGATAGGAATAACACGGGGAAACTGGTTTCAATGGCTTTTGGTTTATGAATCGGATGGTCGTCCCATCGCATTGGCGGATCTTTTGCCTCAATTTCCCACCCGCTGCAACCCAGATTGAGGTCGACACCCATCCACTAAGATACTTGTTAGAGATTTCTCTGACCATTGAGACTAGGTGTTACTTACAACGTCGGCGAATGAGGAATAAGAAGCCATCTTCTCAAAACGCCGCTGGAGCGCGTCGGGGTCTTCATTTAGCTGCTGGATGTTAGGGCTATTTCTTAAGAAGCCACGGAAGACTAAAAAGTTCTCACCTTATATCGCTTGTCACTACACGAGATTACCTTCTGGGCATCATCTGGCCATTGAGGTAATGTTAAGTTTTGACAAAACATCCCCGGTGCCGGATTGCCTACTGTCTTGTCAAGCCGGTTGTCGATGAGGGTTTGAAGAAGTATAGCCACGGCAGGGAATGCAACAACTGGGTAGTACAATGCTGAAAATATGATGAGCTTGAAGTCGCCAGCCGTTATCAAGACAGGCAAATTTGACTGCGAGGGTAAGACAATTGCGGGCTCTTTCTCTAACCAGTTCATGATATAATCAAAACGTTCCTTGATATCTCCGGGATTGTCTCCGAGCCGGTAAAACTGACACTTTGGCCCTGCCTCAGCACAATAAATAAAGAATTGTTCCCATATCGCGTCAGCATCAAGGATACCGTCTCCTAACATCGGGCTGACGTAGTGATCAGCATCCACAACGCCATCTAGAATAACTCGACCAACTTTGTCTGGAAACATAGACGCAAATGTGGCCCCGAGGAGTGTACCGTAGGAGAAACCCCAGTAAACGAGCTTCCCCTTGGTACTGTCCTTGGACTCTATTTCAGAGTTGATCTGTGTTTCATCTACAGTCTCTGGCTCTTCCGTGGACTTGGCGTCGGAACCTGATCTCCATTCATCCCAAGCATGAACGATCGAGAGCATATCTCGCGCTACATTTGGAGTATTGGAGTATCGGAAGATGCTACTATCCCCTTCAGCTTCATCCCTTCTTTTACAGAGCTTAGCAAGTGCTCTTGACCTAACATCAAGCTTGTTGAGTGCGACATTGCTTGAGTTAACGAGACCGATGATATGGCCTGATGCAATCCAGCTTAGCCGGTTCATCAAAGCAACATTGCGTCCGTCAAGTCCAAAAGGATCATCAGGAGCTGCGAAACAATCCGCCTTAGGCGTAGTAGCACCGACTCCACGTGGATCGAAGCCGATAACGTCACGATCTCCGCCAATGACTGTTTGAAGCGCTTGCGCCGAAAACAAGGCGAAAATCGCTCCGCTACCTCCGGGACCGCCAGGATTAATGAGTAGTGGGGATTCCGAGTAAGATGATGGGTTCTCGGTACGGTTAATACCGGGCTTTAAGACCAGAGCTATGTGCACCTTCGGATTGTCCGCTGACTGGTTTAGCGGTCGGTGATAATCCATAGGTACGGTCAGCCGAGCGCACTTGAAACTGTCACCGTAGATCGCGAAGCACGGCTGCCAGATGAGCTTCTCGCTCGGTACGATCTATTTCATGTAAAGACGGCCGTGTCAATAATCACTCCATTATAGCGAATTCGCGGTATTATTCAGGAGAGCTTACACTAGACCATTCTGTCCACCCATCGGGAGGCCCTGGCAGCGCTTGATTTCCCGAGTCCGGATGACGGTAACCATAGTGAATCGGGCCATGTCCGAAATGGCCAATGATTAAAACACCAGATATGACGGTTAAGACCACCGCACTCAGACGGCGCCAACCCCAGCTTGGTTCCCTTCGAGGTAATTGAACACGTGCTCGAATGTCATCGTCTTGCTTCTCCCCTAAGAAGGGCGACGTGGACGATTTTGAGGATGTCATATTCTATTACATGCAGCGATTACCCGCGAAGAAAAAGCTGATGACTTGAACAGCCCAGCTCATGAGATGGACGCGAATACTTTATAAAAATACCTGGAGCTGAGAAGCAATTGACGAAGTCGTAAGGCTCATTATCTATGATTGAACAGGCAGCCACCGACTGAAGTAGTACGCAAGCCAAAGAGGTCGGATTGGATACTTTAGGTACGCAAGCTCGCGTTCAAATTACCCAAGGTAAATAGACGCATACGTACCTAAGGACTAAGATGCAGCCACTGTGCCTCTTTTGTATAACTCGGACTGTTCGTCTTGACCAATGACCTCTGTATCTCAGCTCAACTCTCAAATTACTTAGAAGTTAGACATGTAAGTAAAGAACCAGCCTCGTGCTTAATACAAATGTTAGAATTTAGGAGGCTGGACTCCCCTAAGACAAAATGATATTAAGCAGTTTAATTGGAACTCTAGGATGTTGCAAACTGAAGACATCTCCAGGTAAATAATGTACCTTAGGTACATACGCGGAGCACTGTTTGCAACGCCACATTGAGGCTAAACAGTACGTCCCCAATTCCCCGCAGTGGGCTTGAGAGGTAAATCGTGGGACAGATCTATCGTTATCTTACTCATCTTAATTTTCTCTTCCGCAGACTCAAAATAGTTGACACAGCATCAACTTATACAAATTATAAGTGTCCAATATATGGCATAAAAATGAGTCTTCCGTTGCTATTTACTTCTCATTACCTCAAAGAGTATCTAGACTAGGCGCATAGTCGTTTTCATTGGTCGACTACTTCAACGCTATGTCTTGGCTTCGCTTCATCGTTGGTCTCGATGCAGAAGTGGATAACCTGCTGGGCGATCCGAATGAATTAAGCTTCATACTACCGAAGTTGTCACAATGATTGTAATGAAGTTGTATTGTAGACTTTCTAATGTGGATCGCTAGGCTATACATAATGTATTTATACTTCCACATGTCATGTGACCATGACAATGCCCCTCCCAAAAAAGGAATTACGATGTCCTCATCGTTCTGTATAACAACTGCTTTCTTCTGCGAAACTCTAAGCCATATTCTGCTCCGTGCCTTCTAACTCATGTTCTCCTCCAAATGTTATGGGTAGGCTGCTGGTCCAAGGAATGAGGTTTTCTTCTTGGGGCAGTATATACGTTCAGATCTGGTTTTGGTTGGTTTTGGTTTTAGTTGGTTTAGTTTTGGTTGGTTGGTTGGTTTGGTTTTGGTTGGTTGGTTGGTTTTGGTTTTGGAGGCGGGCGAGTTGAGTGTGTAGAGTAGCCGGATACGGGATGGTCCTAATCGGTTTTGAAGCCGAGACTACATGGTAAAATGGAGTAGACGTGTGGTATGGCGCTTGGTCCGACACGAAAAAAGAAGTGGAATAGATGACTATGGTTCAAACGACGAAAAAAGAATGGTGGCCATAATGCCTGGTCCAACGAAAGAAACGGTGGAGCTACCAATTGTCACAATGATTGTAATGAAGTTGTATTGTAGACTTTCTAATGTGGATCGCTAGGCTATACATAATGTATTTATACTTCCACATGTCATGTGACCATGACAGAAGATCTCTCGAGTTCCTACTTATGAGTTGATTTCTTCTTTTCGTCCAAACACCAATTACTATTCATAGCAATTTAAGGCGTCAAGTCTCAGGTTTCCGTTAAGTTTGAGACGATACTAATAATCATCCATAGGGGGTTTTCAACAATCTAGACGGTCTAGATAATAAACTAAAATAAACACGCTTTGTATGATCTACAATTAATAGTGGATGCCACCAATGAAACTCTTCGACTTGTTAATATTCATTCACTTCTAGTCTTCAAAGGCGACTTTTACTATCAACTCCGGGCCAAAATGTTGCTCAATTTTACAGGTCGCCATTCTACATTCTTGGCAGTATTAGCCATCTTCAGTGTTACCTAGGTCAAAGCGCCCGAAGGCTTATCTCGATCATCACTAGCTTCCCCAAGTCGAACGAATCAGTGGATTACGCGGCGGAGAAAGCTTGTTAGTCTTGGAACGCACTGGGCGCGGGGGCAGATGGGACCCTGGTCGCTTGGCAGGTCTCAAGACCCAAGATTGATACTCATCTCACACATTCGTCTTCCGCCTCTTATACTATGCCGTACCCTTCTCGTCGCATTGACTGACCTACGGCACTTGGCAGGTTTAGCCAAGAGCCTCATTGACACGCACTTATAACGGTGATGACTGCTTCCGTGATCTTGTTTCTTGCAATCCCTGTCGACCAGTCACGTTTCGAGCGTTAATAACGTTGTTCAGCCTCCGCATCTAATGGCGAACAACTAGCGTTGTCTACGAAGAGTCACTCCGCTAACATGATACACAAAACACCTTGCCAGAGATATTTTTAACATAAATGTCCAAGAAGAAACACCTTGGCACCGGAGGAGAATGGGCATCCCATGTCGTTCACCTGTCTCGGCCGCTTGGCTTTCGAGGTCCCGACTCGATAGCTAGGAATTGCCGATGATCTATGATGCTCAGCTGTCGACGTATATGAAGGCCTTAGTTGGCCCCGAGATGATTCGGAGTTACTCAGCTGTGCTCAAGTCATCGTCCGAACTTTCTCGTTTTCCGGTCTCTTCCTTAATTTCTATTCGCAGATTAATTCTGTCTTTGCTTCTTTCGCTGGTCGCCGCTGGTCGTTTTATACTACTCTAATATCTATTTTCTACTATTTTATATCGAAGCATACTCAACCAAGACTACCCGAGAACATCTTCCAAGACATATTAGCCAAGATGGTCAGTTATCGTATGATTGCCGTTGCCGGCTTCCTCGCCAGCGTCAGCGCTCTCCCTCTAAACATTAACCTTGGCGCCTATTCCCCCGCATTGTACGTACTAGCCTGAGTACATGTCTACCTGGTTATCCCAGATATCTAATCGATCTATAGGGTGGTTGGTGATGGTGAGATTTCGTTCGGTGGAGGTCAAGATGTTACGAGCTTGATGAACGCCTTGGAGGGTGCAGCAGTCAACGCTGCTACCGGGTCGACTAAAGGCGCCACTCAAAATGTTGCTTCCGCACCTGTAGCCGCAACCAGTTCTGCCCCGGTGGACGAAAGCGGCATTGTGGCCGCCCAAAGCAATCCGAGCCCAGTTGTCGAGACTCCCAAAGCCCCTAAAGCCCCCGAGGTTTCCGAAGCTTCTATCGCGCCCACTACTAATGTAGACCCCAACTTGGAGCAACAAGGTGAGTTATTGATATTAAGCCTTCCTTGAAGGTAAAGACTAACAAAAATTTAAGCTGCTCAAATATCAGGTCTACAAGGCATGGGAAAGGAGATCGCTCCTCGAGACTCTGAGTCTCCCAAGGCCAAGCGTGATCTGGCTGGCTTTGACAGGGCTCTTACATTTGCCGAGGCGGCCTTAACCAAGGGACCCTTGATCCAGCTTGGCACTGGCGAGGGTGGTGCTGGTGTCGGTATCATTGTTGATAACAATGGCGGTACTGTTGGCGGGGGTGCTGCTAAGGCGGCTGCTAAGCGTGATGAATCTTCCTCGCAGCCGCGCCGACGAACTAAGGTTACCCGCATGTATGTCAAGCGTGGTGTCCCTGCTTGTGAGTGAACCCAAACTTCAACTTTTACTCTCGGTATTACATAGCATACTAACTAGCACCCTGTTGAAAGCTATGCAGACATCTAGTGAATTCAAAACTCGCACCGTCCAGTCCCTCCCTATTCCGAAGGTCCCCGCAGTAGCTAAGCGAGAAAGTTCTTCCGATACCATCGATGCCATCAACCTAAACGTTGATGACGAGCAAGGCTTCACGATGACATTTGTTGAGACGACAGAAGACGAAGATGATGCCGCGATAGATGAAGCGCAGGAGTAATATACGGTTATAATGTAACAACTACTGTTTGCTCTCCGTCTATTAAATTTGTATAGTGGCATTTTTCATCGTTTTTGATACCATATATGGGAGTCTAGGGGCTGGGGATTACGCTTGGGACGATTCATCATATATGTGCGGCATATTCTTTAATTAGCTTTGGTTACAGTGATCTCTCTTACAAGAGCGGTTGATTCGGCCTATAAAATATGTATTACTTGGTAGTATAGAAAATTCAAAACGACCGGCCTGTTTACTTGACAGGTCGAGACCGGAAGAGAAAGATATGCCCTCAAGTCGCTTATGAAAAGGAAATTTTTTAATAAGAAGCGCTCGAGCTTTCTAAGAACAAGAAGTTGGTCAACGCCGTCCCTCCCCTATCGCTGTATTAGGTTCACGTCAAAACACTTGGTTAACCGACTAAGAGGTAACGAATGCACTTAGATACCTAGTCTCGATAATGATGCGATGCGCAAATCATCGTCTCCGGGAAAAGTATACGTAATCCATGAAAGAGCAGGCGTTTCAACACGCCGAAAGCTGCGACAGAGCCAAGATGTGATAAGAGATCGCCAAGAGCCTCACTAGTAGTTCCTTTACTGCACCACAACAATAGCAACTGCCGGGCTCCACATCAAATAATACCCTATTTATCTCGAGTTTCTAACAAGCAAGCACTAGGGGAAGTGGACTACTATTTACTTCACATAACCCTTACTGTAACAGACCACCGATGAATCGACATGATGAATACCTTATTAGAACCGGTTACGGACTTATGAATGCTTTGTATCGTCGATCTTGGGGGTTAGGACCTGTAGCAGTCCTACGTCTTATGATTTTTATCACCTGGCTATAGATGCGCAAGCAGAATCGTCAACGTAGCTTAGATACCTCATACACCTCATACTGATACCACGGCTGACTTGAAACCCGATGTTTCGCACAATTAGATACCCCTTTATCACCCCCAGCTCTAGATACAAAACCAGTCTAGAACTCCTTCTTAAAGACCCGCTAGTCCAATCTAAGCATACACCCTGAACTCCAAGCCAACCTCTACCCCATCTAACTATTCCACCGTCGATATCCCTCATTTTTCTGTTTCTGCCTCGTGTTCCAGCCGAGCTTCGCGCTGATGCTCTTGACCCAATCCTCGCTTCTTCGTCCTTGCGGCTGGACGCTGGCGAACGGGAACCGACTAGCACTGATAGTCACGTAGTCGCCGGGGAAGAGTTCGACGCGTTCGCGACCATCGAAGCTAGCCCAGCTGTGGGTGCGCGCGTCGTACGGCACTCCGATACGCAGCACGATCGTATCTGGCAAGATGATAGGTCGGAACGATAGCGTGTGCGCACATATTGAAGTCACGAGCATTACCGGGTTTTCTGGATGGCAGAGTGAACCGCCTGCTGCGAGATTGTAAGCTGTTGAGCCCGTAGGTGTCGAGACGCATATTCCGTCTGCGAGCACAGATGTGAAGTGTTCGTCGTCCCCGAAGATTTCGGTATTGGACATTGCTACCGATGATTAGCTTAGGCCGGTCCGGTTGATGAAGTTGTAGGTAAGACTTACTTGGATTTGGTCCCCTATCTACCACGATCTCATTGAGAATCTCATAAGTGCCATCTGGTCTGTGAGTATGTTCATCCTCCCGTTCCTTACCGATAAGTTCCTCTATAAGATCTCGCTTGTGATGAACCCCTTTCTCGTCTACATAGTTAATCTGATCCGGTTGATTCGCCTTCTTTTGAGTTCTCATTATAGTTCCCTCAAATCGCAGGCGCAAGCTTACTGTCATGCCGTCTCTAAAGGCTGTAGAGAGTATGTCCTGGTACTCATTGAAATCGAACTTGGTAAGAAATCCGAGACTACCCAGCGAGAAACTCAGTACCGGTGGCACTATTCGTTGAAATAGCCAGCTAGCATACAGCACTGTTCCATCGCCTCCAAGGGTAATAATGAAATCAAATGTGTGTGGTCGCACGTGGCACATATTCTCGTTCCAGTAACGCAAGCGACAGTCCAGTGTACCCTTTGGAGTATTGCTGTCCATCTGACCGGCGTCCATATACTCTTGTTGAAGTTCCTGTAACAATCCAGGCGCATCGAATCCTTTATTGCCCTGCAAGCTTTTTTCCACGTAGACAGTATACCGAACGTCCCTATCTTTACTAAGGAGCCATTTCGCAACCTCTCTCGTCTTCGGTATTAATTCATGGTCATACGCTTTTGTTAAGAGGAAGATGCTCCTGGCCTTAAACTTGAGTCTTATATTTCCCAATCTTCTACTAAGCTCCCGGACTCCCCAGGCCATATCAGTCAGCTGTTTTTTTGTAAGTAGTCGACTGTTGAGGCTCTGGTTATGATCTAAACCAGCTTTGCCTTTTTTGACGGCTTTGCTCCATGCTCTCTCATCAACTTGACCTATATCATTGCTGAAATCGCTGTCTGCTTCTGTTGCAGGTGTGTGCTCAGGCTGGCTAGCAGTCTTTCCTTTAGGTTCGACATATTCATCTAGGCCAACCTCGCTAGTGATCTCTTCGTGTTTTTGCTTATCGTGATTTCGGTCAACGCTTTTAGGCTCATCATACCTATGGCCCTCAAGAAACTGATGCACTAAGCACTGAGTTGGCGATGGCCTGGACCTGGATGTCGCAAACTGGTCCGTGGTCGCTTCACTATGTATGAAAGAGCTTTTCCTCCGGTAAGGATTGCCTGAATCAAAAGTAACCTTCCCAAGAAGAGATTTAGAGCTATATTCGCGAGATAATATTGAGAGGCGAAACATACCTCAACTGCGTCGTTATCATCGTCACTTGCGCTAGAAAACCCATCATCATCACATTGGTTTTCATTCGCGCCTTGCGAGTGATCGACACCGTCGTCTGTCATAGCTACCTGTGCCAAGTAAGGGGAAAAAGAAAGAAATCAAGTAAAAAGATTACAAGGATGACCTACAACCTTAGAGATTCCCGTCCTTTTGAATTTATATACAGAAACACTGAAGACTAAGTTTTATTTGAAACCCACTAAATAAAAGGTAATCCGTGAGAGAAAGTATCAGAAGTCATTGCGTCAGTGCTAGTCTCAAGGTCTTACTAATGCCCCGCGGGAATTCTTATCGATTATCATTTGATGAGATTAGATTAGATTAGATCACCTACAAACTTCCCCTATCAAGTCCCAATAGTCAGAGACTCCGCTATAATATGCTCCGAAGCCCCCTTAGGTTAATTCATTTCTATGACTACTGGTCCCAAAGCCCATCGTATGGATCTTCTCTCGCGGGCGGGTCTCGGATATACTCCTGGAAGAACCTGCTCAATAACGCATCATCTTCCACCTCAGGAGGTCTTGTAACATCCACGGGCGGCCTCTGCCTAGTGGGATCTGCTGCTCTTTCTATTTGAAATCTTCTTTCGGTCTCAAATGCCATCGCATCGTCCCGCGCAATACTCGCCTGGATAGTAGTAAGAAGCTCGTTTAGGGCTGGCCGGTCTTCGCGATCGTCGGCCATACAGCGGGCTATCAACGTGCGCAGATCGACACCATAGTGTGTGAATTCCTCGTAAACCTCATCGCCGACCAAGAACGGAGCCCATGTGTTAAGGTCTTTATCTGTGCCGTCTGGCATTGTTATGCGACATATTCGTGGTTGCCAGTCCTCATCGTCAGTATGGTACAGGGTCAACGCGTTGAACATTAACTATTCCAAAAGTCAAAAATCAACAATAAATTATAAGAGGTGATCTCCCAGTCGTTTCGATATACTTACTAGACCGATACCCCATATATTAGTGTGCGGTCCAAAGGCGCCTTCTTCTAAAGGCCTTCGTCTGTCCCGTTGCTCCTAAGTATGTGTTTAGCATTTAGAATAAGTTAATATTCACTTCTCTTAGACATATCATATAACCTACTGGGGCCTGATATCCGGGTTTTCCAACGTTGGCTACAGCAAACTTCCTAGAGTAAGGTGTTAAAAGCAATCCAATACGGATAGAAATAACCGGATGCCATACTCTGCATCTTGCCACTAGTATACAGTCAGTTAGCAATCATTTTCTTACAAGATCTTAAAGGCAATACACAGGTTAATTATTTGAGGTGCCATAGTATAAGGGTGAAAATCATCGTCAAGTGAATGCAATAAGTACTCACTCCATTGTCCCACTCTTGCATCAGCCCAAAGTCGCCCAGCTATATCAAATTTCAGCATAAAAATGCATAGATTAACTAAAGTTTTATGAAAACCAACCTTCCATCTTGGGGCCAGTCCATGCTCTCGCCCGTCGTCATGCGTGAGAAAGGGGTCGTCCATAAATACTAAAGATCGTTAATTTAGAGACTTTCCGGGCTATTACTAAGATATTACCGTTGAGAGGATGCAAGTCAAAATGAATTATAAGCGACGCGTCTTCTTGAGGTCTAATTACTTCACGATATACTTCTGGGCTGTTGTTGTCTAATATCGGAGGATAAGCCATTCCTATACATGCTCTCGTAACTGATACGGCGAGTAGATCTTATTAGTAACATAGTGGGTTTACGTACTGGATCTAGTAGCTTACGACATAGGAATAACCTCCATAAGAACCGACTGGGTATAAACTCTAGTTTCTTTCTATGATTAGGAAGATTCCTGTTATTCGAAACTGTCTCGTTTACGCGGGTTAATAGCTCGTATAGTTCACATCTCTCGAAATAATCCATTATCATTAAAGCTGGGGACCCGTTGTCACCGATGTAATCATTATAAAGACTTTCATCCATAACCCAATTTGGCAACCAAACAAGTTGGGTGAAATGTTCACAAGTCGCAAACGTTTCCTGATGCTCTTGTCAACGCTGACTAGTTGTCTATTATGGGATATGTGCAGCAATACTCACCGACATCCAATTTATTTCTTGACGGAAATATGGATCGTCTTCATCTACAGGTGCCTTAATCGCTAAATCTCGTACACGCTGTCGATATTGATTTACTTCGGTCCACCGAGTTACAACCCCCGAGCTCCCGAATCCTAAGACTTTACGAAATTCTAGAGATCTCGCATTTTGAGAGAAAAATTGTCGCTGACGCTGATATGCATCTTTCGCAGCCTCGAACACTTCGTTGAGCTCGGCTTGCCCGACTCGCACGAACGGCCGAACTAAACACATGAATATTATTATGATACATTGTTAGGCAGGTGTAGTGAATTGACATACGGACTGGCGTAGCCATAGCCTTTCCTTCTCATCCGTGAATTGATTCTGAAATATCTTGATCCAATAGTATATGTAGACCGCATAGCGAGTATTCTGAGAGCACCAAGGCACATGATAATGGCAACACATGGTCAGCTGTTAATACAAGCGCCATTGTCTACGAATTGGCATTGAAACTGAAACATTAAACAAGACCAAGAAAGAACTGCTTTCGGAAGAAACAAAGATACTACTTCACAAGTCACCTTTGAGCTAGGGGGTTCAGAACTAGCGACAAAGACAATTCAGGGGTTAGCACAAAGGTAGTAAAACTCAATTAAAAAATTATTATTGGGCAACCTCTACATAGTATGTTTAGCTGCCTACCTACCTAAGGTAGATAGCCGTTTCTTGTGAGGTGAACTATCCCGTAAGGTTAGGTAGACAGACTCACGGGGCAATACGCCAGCGAGATAGAACTGGGGATAATAGTATCAATCTATCGGCGGTCTTTTCATCTGTAAAATTCCATGAAATACAATTGGGCCAATTAAATTTTATATAATTGTTCGCTTCTTTCAATCACACAGCTACACTATATTTGGGTAGACTCGATGATCGATGCTCCTCGGACTTAGTAGCGCCAAACCGGCTCACTCCGGGTCCCGTCCGACATAGTAATCAACTCAACGGTGTTTGAACTTCAATCGGGAACACGGGAATACCGAGTCGGCGGATTTATTATGAGCGGGATCCTGTCCTGACTGAGACTCCGAAATCCCGGTTTATCCCCGTGCCGGGCCGTCGGTAGCAAGACGGCGTCTAGATCTCGAGCTAGAGCTTGCGCGGGGTTCTTTGTAAGTGCGCAATTCATTACGTATCGGCCCTCATATTTTGCGACTCCTCATCTTTTTTTTTATAAATAATCGATTTACCCTCAAACATTTTCTTCTAGTCAAATAGCACAAGCGTTCTCATTACCTTTCTAAGAAGTGCTTTAAAGATCCACCGTAAAGATGAGCGACCACCGAAGAATCAGCGTCCTTGACGTAAGTTCTCACCATCCTCTATTAATCCAAAATTACTAACTGGTTCTTAAGGAGACACTCGTTGATGGTCTACCAAGTGTTTCAAAGACGCTCTTCCAAGCTAAAGCTAGACACGGATATACGTTCGAGGAGCTTGCACAGAAACTAGGCCGCAGCGAGGTTGCGGTTGCTGCTTTATTCTATGGCCAAGCCCAGGCATCCGATGAAGATATCGAGAAGTTGACAGAAGCCCTTGACCTCCAAAAGGGGGACCTACACTCGCTGTCACTGGGTTTCCCTAATCGGGGACGTGCGGGACCAATGCCTCCCGTAGAGCCGCTCATCTACAGATTGTACGAGATTGTACAAAACTATGGGTATGCCTTTAAGGCTGTTATAAACGAGAAATTTGGCGACGGCATCATGAGCGCTATTGCGTTCTCTTCTAAGGTTGAGAAGGAGGTCGACGGTGATGGAGTCGCGTGAGTGCCCCATGTACCGATGAAAATGATTCATGTTGAAAACTAACCTGAGATGCAGCTGGGTCAATATTACCCTCCGAGGAAAATGGTAAGTGAACTTGGATTTAGCATTGTCGTTCCGAGGAAGTAACTTACATTGTCTAGGCTGCCATTTACTCGATTCTAATTTGATGGTGCATGGAGTGGCGGTTTAACTTTGCCATACATACATTCAATCCTATTTGAAGTACAGTCGCATCATATAATTGATCACTTATATTAAGACTACCTGTTTCTTCATCTCCATTAGGTACCCTTAACGAACGCTGTTGAGAGATGATTAAATATAGGGGCTTTGGGTTTTAGCCCTCGGAAGAAACCGTGATGGCGGGGTTAAGCCGGGAATAGATATCCAAACAAGGGGTATATTGAAAATAATCTTGTCGTGAACTGGTAAACATACTTCTCGCTGAATACATTATTCATATCTGGGAACCAATATTAGACTTCCCGCTCGTTAGAGATGGTTGGATTCCTGATCGTGGATGACGGGGTCTTCTCTCTCTTATATCCTTCTCTCCAGAATGGTTCCACTCCCATCTCCTGGAACCTCTTCACTTCGTAGTCCTTCGTGACGATCCAATTGCTAATAAAAACAACTAGAACCAATAAAAAGATGCCCATGCCTGCCGCCAACGGTGCGATGATCGAAAACACTGTGAATCCGTAGCTCGCGTTCTGGAACGCCTCGTCTTCCTGTAGTCTTTCTACCCCCAGGCCGACTTGCATCGCCGTTAGCACAATGACGACGTATCCGAGAATGGTCGCTAGGGCGGCGAAGTTGTCGCGAATTAAATCGCCGTAAACGGTATGGGCTGCGATCTTGGAGTAGCCGCGTAAGATGAAGCCTTTCTGTATTCGGTAGACCTTGTTCAACCGGCTTAGCCGGAGCTCGCCGTACCAGTACCGTGGGTTGACAGATCCATAGTCGTGGCCTTGTAGGATCTCCTTAGTGAAATCCTTCCATGCCTCCCATTCGATATAATAGGGCAACAACCCTTTCTCTTTCGCGATGCGGAAGTCGCTCTGGTACGCGATGAGAGCGGTGTAAGAGAAAAGGTAGCCCCGAGCGCATTTAGTGAGTTCGTCGTCATGGATAATGTGAGCGGCCCAGAAATCAGGCTCAAAGAGATATGGAGGAATAGGTTTCAAGAATATGCGATTCTTTGACCATACGAGATGGAGTTCCGGATTTTCGCTGATGGCGATCTCTCTTGAGAGGAGAATTTGGTGATGTAATGGCCGAGGAGGCATTGGGCGACCACATATCCAAAGCCAATCTTGTATATCATTCAACCTTTTGACAAGGAGTTCCCGCTTGAGGAAGCTCGTCCCCAGGTCAGGGACAGCTATATGGTCATGTTCTGTACGATGCGAAGCCGGAAGTAGAGAATTGAAGTCTGATGCCTGTTGCGACGCGCTAGAATCCTCTCGTGACTTAAGCACTTGAGTTGTGAAAGGGATAGGCGATGTACCCATCGTTAACGATTATTACTTAGTAGCTAGCCTTGACGATGTCGGCATACACTTGAAATTGAAAAATATTTCTGTTTACCGTAGGATGACTTACGAGGGGCTATAGCACGCTAATATGACAATCGTCTACTCATATACATATAGGGTAATCAAACTATTTTATGTGGCATACGCGCTCTGGCTCTGGTCGGGTGTCTAGGTATTTTAAAAGAAGTAAGCAGGGGTTGAAATGATCAGCATTCAGCCCATCGCGGGTCGACATGGGTAAAAATCTAACATTGGCTGCGTCCCGCCCCCTTCCCTAGCACCTGGGTTTTAGGGCCGGGGATCACACCGAATTCGAAATTAACGCTTCTTTTCTCTTCTGCCTTATGCGAGTAAGTAAGTCGAGGGTACACACTGCGAGCCTCATCTATATTTTGCCCTAATCAACACAAAGAGATATGTGTAGTAAAAGCGCCACTGGACGTCGCATTTAACGGTATCCAGAAATAGTATTCGCCAAGAAAAGCTCACCTCAGACATCCGAGTCCTTCATAATCCATCCAAGAAGTGATTAATCGGTTTTCAAGGTAACATCGCGTGCCTAATGGGAGATAGCGAGCGACCAGATTATTCCAGCCTAAGACAAGGTTAGACTGGCCCTGACAGGGCTTAGACGGGTTAAGTAGCATTTTTAGTGCTGACGGACTAGCCCATGAAGCACGATTTGAGACGGAGTCTATCAGCCGCACATAATAGACCATGCTCGCGTCATCACATAATTCGCTAGACATGTACTTTCTCATGCTACCAGGTCCAAAAGGACTTTAGGACCATGGATCGTTCCGTCATCCTTAGTCCTTAACCCTCTTGAGATTGGGGTCACCTGTTGTCTGGCTTGGCCTATAACTCCCGTTGCCCCATCCCATCCGTGAGAAGCCCCGACTCGAATCTCGTTGAAGCATTTCGGGATCTATAGTCGTATCGCCATGTCTCTGCAACGCTCCGCGACGCGGAAGGCTCCCGCAGGACCTGCCAGACGGAAGAAGGACTACGATATCGTACAGCAGGGTGTCAAGGAGCTTTACCCGCTTGATAAATCTGATGTCGAACCGGAAATTGAGTAAGTTGGAGAAAATATATACCGAATTTCGCTTTCTTGTTCTAACTCTCTTTAGCATCGTCTTCGTGCCCGGCCTCGGCGCACATCCGGAAGACAGCTGGAAATCGGAGAGCACCGGCTTTAACTGGACTACTGATGGACTAGTTAGAGATTTCCCGCGGGCTCGTATCCTGTTGTATATGTACGAGTCAGCATGGACTGGTTCCCTAAAGGTGAAGCAGTTCATGAGCAATATTGCTATGACATTGCTTAATGGGTTGAGGAGTAAGAGAGAGGTAAGCCAATCTCCGTATATATTGCCTGTGTACTCTAGCTTACATGACTATCTGGGGGTTGATAGGGCGCTGTACAACGACGTCCAATCGTATTTATTGGACATAGTATGGGAGGTCTGGTAGTTGCGAAAGCGATAACCATCGCAGACTCTCGAAGAGATAAATTTCCTGTCATGTTTGAGGCTATCGCGGCGGCCATCTTCTTCGGTACACCTTTCAATGGAGCGCCCGTTGCTTCTGTCGCCGCCATGTACGCATACCTCGCCGAGAAGGCCGGTACAGCGTCTACTTCCAAGCTCTTAGATCTAATGAAGCCTGGCGACGAGGGCCTCCGTGAGCTTAAGCATGAATTTATGCGCCTCGTGGGAAAGCTAAGCCCCAAGATCGACCTATTATGTTTCTATGAGGAACAGCCGACCGATTTTGGTAAGATGGCTGGCTTGCCCGACCTCTTTGGCATGAGTAAGCTCGTCATCCCGAAATCATTTGCCGATTTTGTGAGTCGCGACTCTGCGACGCTTCCAGGTGTCGAAGAACAAGGCCTCGCACGCAACCACCGAGACCTTGTCAAGTTTGATGGCCCGAAAGATGATCAATGGAACCAGTTTGTGAAAGATCCTTTGAAGAGGATAATTCATGGTGCTCAATTGGCAGTCAAGAATCGTCTAAATTCTGTTCGCGATATCGATCGGAAAATGATCAACAACATCATGGAAGCTTTAGATGGCGCACAGGTGTCCAAGAAACGCAGGGCCCTAGCGCAAACATTTGCGTCATCCTCCTGGATAACGAAGGAAGAAGAGTATCAACAGTGGCTATCCGATGAGATGAAGACGGGTGACGAGGCTAATACGGCTCGCGCTGCTGATTGCCTATGGATCCGAGGACCAGAGGGTCGAGGGAAAACCAGCGCGTCTTTGGCAACCGTTGATGAGATCGACAGGATTAAGGATATGGATTCAAACCAGGGGCCGGTCTTGCTTGCTTACTTCTTTTGCGAGTCGACCACAGATTATTGTACCGCCGAGGACGTTCTCAAGAGCATCGTGACTCAATTAATCGACCAACAGGAGATGCTCGCTTCTTATGCCAAATTATTTGCTAAGAAGCGAGGCGAAGGGAACAAAGCGCAGGTGACTGTAGAGAACTTATGGCAGACTATTCAGGATATGCTCATAGATGAGTTCATCGGCAGTAAGGTTATATTCGTACTCAATAACCTGCACGTGCTTCCCGAAGATTCAGATTCTACTATCAAGTTGATGAAGTACTTGAACGCCGAGCTCCAAGGTACTAACAACACGGATACGAAGCGGGTCCCAACAAGATGGATGATCACCAGCAGAGAAGCCCACAACATCGAGGAAGCACTCAAAATTGAGGGCGTCCGTCTTGTTGATCTTGAAGATGAGAAGTACGGGAACCAGGTTCAGACGGCATTACGAAAGCGGGCTAAAGAGCGAGTCACCACGCTCGAGAAGGAGAAGAACTATAATAAGGCGCTTGCGTATTTTGCAAGCAGTCTCATTGGGAAACGTGCACAAAATACCCAGTGGATTGATATCACATGTGTTCAACTTCAAGAACTTCCAGAAGCCGAGAGCGATCTCAAAGTGCGCCGAATACTTGAAAGAATGCCCCAGGATCTAACGACGCTCCTGAACAATTCATGGCTTCAGATATTCAAAGCTAATGAAGCCGATGTTGAGAAGATTAAGGAGATGTTACGTGCCCTTGTTCTCACATACGAAGACCCTACAGAGGAAGAGCTTGGTGTGCTTGCTGGGTTTTCCTCAAGCGAAAAGGAGAAAGCTGAACTCCGTAAGTTCGTGGAGATGTGCAAGCCACTGCTAGCCATCAAGCGAGCAAATAATACCGTTTCCTTCATGAATGTCGTGGTTAAAACACATCTCCTAGAGAATGCTAAGCAACTTCTCGGCATGTCGGACGAGGAGAAGAAATGGCAACATGGTGTTCTTGCACTCAGGTCATTCTCGCATGTAAACGAGAGCTTCAATTTTCCTAGTCAAGAGCAAACCCCTGAAAATGGCGAAGATGGTGGTTCGGTTGAGGAAGATCAAGACGAAGATGAAAATGAGGAGGAAGAGGAAGAAGAAGAGGACTACGATGACGAAGAAGACGATGATGAGTGTGATAGCGAGAGTGAACCAGATAGCCAGGATGACATGGACCCCGAGGCCGATATTCTTCGCGATCTAGCCCGTAAGTCTAAATCCCCAGCCCTGCACCATTGCTCACTCCTATAGATAAGCTGAGAAAAAGTTTCGTCTGAACGAATAACTGCTAACTTTTACCATTACAGTGCCATATACAGTCAAGTATTGGCTACGCCATGCTAGTAAAGCTACGCGTGAAATTGCCGAGGACTTGAGTTTAGAAGAAGATTTCTGGAAGTCCGATTCAAAGATACGACATCGCTGGCTTGTAGAATACTGGCGTATGACTAGCACTTTCGACGGCTTTGACTACAAGACATTCACAGGGTTACGTATGTGCCCCCCTAGCCTCCCCGTTTACTCTCATCAGGGATGGGTTGGTTTGTATGCATGCAGATATAGATCGGCAGGCTCTCATAACTCACATCTATTCGCTATCAGTAACGATTGCTGACTTCAGAGGCCACAGATATTGCTGCTTCCGTCGGATTTAGAGAACTTGTTGCAGCTTTAATTCGAAACGGCTACGAAGATCAGATTAAGATCCGCGATTCATTGGTTAACTCTCCGGTTAGTATGGACTAGGTCCTTACTCTAATGTTTGCTAATTTCGTGTTTAGTTGCACTTGGCGGCTTACTTCGGACGCCCTAAAATCGTCGAGGAGCTCCTAAACAGAGGTGCCGTGATTGATGACGGAGACGAAATCCAAGAACAGACACCTTTGCACATGGCTGCTTTCGGAGGCCATGTCGAAGTTATGAAGAAGCTGCTCTTAAGAGGGGCGAATGCTAATGCAATGTCTAACGATATTGGCCCGGTAGTAAATGCGGCAATATCCTCAGGCAATCGAGCATGTGTTGAACTCCTTATCGAACGCAATGTCTCGTTAACAGTCGACCGCGCAGACATCGACGCGCCTCTTGCACTAGCCGCATTATTATCTGACTTCTCTATGTTCGAGTATCTAATTGAAAGATATGCGGATAAGTTGCCACCCGAAGAGTACAGCAAGGCATTTGTCAAGGCCGCGGAGGCAGGTCGGCTTGAAGTTTTTAATAGGATGCTTGAGTACGAGCATACCCAAGAATACTTCCAGCTTGCTCTCGGTTCGGCCGTTGATGAAGGGAATTGGGACATTGTTACTATCATTCTAGAAAAATGCCAAGGGCTTGACGTTGACGGAGCCTTCTACCAAGCGGCCACGGGTACTGAGCAGCAAGACAAACTCCTTGACGTATTCTGGAACTATTCTAGTGGTACAATTGGGCCGGATACACTCAACAATTGTCTCTACGACGCTACCGATAGAGAAAAGGAGTCTACCGTGAAATTACTTCTCGAGAAGTTTAAAGCAGACCCTAATGCTACCGGCGTCGAGTAAGTCATCATTTATGATCGTTATGAAGTCTAAGTTGCTGACATATATAAAGATATGGCAATGCCCTAACAGCTGCCGCTTACGATGGTACCATGGAGATTATCCAAATGCTTCTTGATGCCGGTGCCAATGTCAATGCACCAGAGGGTTGGGCCCTTCAAACAGCCGCTACCGAGGGCCATTACGATGTCGTTGTGGAGCTTCTAAAGCGTGGTGCCGACGTGAATGCCTTCACTAACAACTCATATTTCGAGTCGGGTACTGCCATTCAAGGAGCGTGTGAAGCAGGAAAGACGGATATTGTCTTCCTGCTTCTTGAACACAATGCAGATCCCAACCTTGGGGGAGGTCGTGATGCACCGCCAATCATAGCAGCCGCCCTCCGCGCCGAAGAGGATATTCTTGAGCTTTTAGTCAAAGCGAAAGCTCATTTAGATGTGCATGGTAGCGGAGGTTGCCCATCAACACCGCTTAGCTTGGCTGCCGCCTATATGCCTCTATCGTCGCTCCAGCTGTTACTTGACGCAGGTGCCGACATCAATCTCCCGGATGAAGATGGGGATACCGCTCTTATCGCAGCCGCATCTAGAGGCGATCAAGAAGCTGTTTCATTCTTGATAAATAGCGGCGCTGACATTATGCACTCAAACGAAGATGGTGATAACGCCCTACAGATGGCATTGGCCACTGATAATGAGGAATGCTTGAAAGTTCTTGTCGATCGTGTTTCGGTATTATTAGGCGCTCTCAAAAATGCTATGGACTCTGGTAACAACGCAGTCACCAGCGTTGTACGGGGTGCGTTTAACAAGGAGCAAGAACTCAGCTATGATGACGAACCTCAAGTAACTCCAAAGAATATTGAGCCGCCTAAACCGTCGGTCGATGATGTCGCGGATAGGCAACACGAGGAAAAGGTCGAAGAAGCCCCCGTTGATTCAGATGAAAATGATATCAGAAGTTCTATTTATTCTAACGAAGCGCCATTGCCCGACGACGATCACGCAGCCGAAAATGATACCCAGGACGCAGGCACTTCTGACGAACAGTCTTCATTTGACCAGATTTCCGAACGGCTTAAATCCGCTATAGCCAATCAGGCAGCGTTGTGGAACGAATTCACCACCACCCGTTCTACAACACCTACAGAGGTTGGACAGTCCATCTATCAACCCAGTGGGCAAGGGGATGTAGAAGCTTACCAGCCTAGCGTCCAAGCTGAGGAAAATATTCCTCATCGCATAGAAGTCGAGCAGGAACCCCAACGAGCGACTTCAGACCCGATTATGCCAGATCCATTGCCGATCGAACTGCCTACCTACGAGTACCTCAAGAGGAAGCCAGCACAAACTGTCCCCTACGGTAATCAAGCTACATATAGCCAATCACACTACTCAGCGCCGTCTCAGTCATCAGCCAGTCAAGTCCAGGCATCTATAGAGACTAGGACGTACGACCAAACCATCACCGCATACCGGCCTGATCCAGCCGCCGCCTCTCAGCAGCCTCATGAAATCCCTCCGTATCAGAACCCACAGAGTCAGGCTATACAATCCGAATCGTCCGCACCTTATCAGCATACCCATGCATACACGCAAAGCCAGTCTGCTCAAATAGCAGCACAATATCAGAGTTCGGCCCCGTATCGGCCTGATAATTCACCATATAATAACACAAATCAAGTTGATGCAACTCAGTCTCAACCACCAACAACCCAATATCCTGCCCAACAACCTACCTACGCTGCGTATAATCCAAGCACGCATAGCCAGCCGCAGCAAGGATCAGCGACGCAACAATCCTACAATCCAAGCAACCCAATCCAGGCATATCAAGGACAGGCTTACCAGCCACCAGATTGGCAACAACAGTATCAGGGGTATTACGGGAATGCTCAAAACCAGCAGTACACCGGTAGTGCTTACGAGGGCTCCGATTGGGAACAAGGTCGCCCGCAGCTCAAGCCGCAGCGGTCATCTTTCTTTGGGAACGGGATGAAGAATACCCTCAACAAGACGAAGATCATGGGAAACGGTATATTTAACAGGAAGTGAATGATGGGTATAATATTGTCTATGGTTTGTATAATAGGTTAGCAGATATGATTACGAGTTCCGTGACGGAAAAGGAGTGTACTATTAGCCTTGATGTTAGGAAGAACCCCCTATATATGTTGGTCATCTATAAAAATATCTGAAGGGCTAAACAATATTAGCGAATTTTCAACTCATTACAGTATCTACTACCTAGGTACCGATATGGATCGTGTATGACGATTGGTCTATTTGATGTTAACTGTGCTTTGGGGATTCCCCGTCACATAGTTGATAAGAGCCAGCCGCAGCTCCTAGACAAGGAGTATAAAGTAAATCAAGGTTCCCAATAATTCAATTACGTACATATTTCAAAAGGCCGTTAAATCTTAAATGAGAAATTCGATACAGATTATGGATGCCCTCTAATACTAGCATAAATTAGGTACCTCTTAGTAATTTGATTACTAGTACACTTCGTAGAAACATGAGATGACATCTATTGAGTTAAGCAATGCTATCAGCAATAAAGTTTTACGTACCTAGGTAGATTTGAGCAAACATGATGATGTCGTCGATGAATGTGTACTACTTGCAATGTTAGAGGTGCAGCCCTAATCAATCTGTATGACCTAAGTTATCATGCTAAAATTCTTTCGAGATATGCACCTAGGAAATTCTAGCACTAGCCTTTGACTCAGTAAACTGTCAAATATGGGATAAGCATCTATCTGGGGTTCCGAGTGCTTGGTCACCATAGTCATTGGTTCAATGAGCTTCAGGTGGTATCAGCTTGAGCAGGTGGCCTATTCTTTTCCTTGAGAACACCCACCAAAGAAGAGTTCATACCTCGAAGGTATGCACACACACACACCGAGAAACTTTGTACGTGCACCTTCCAACATATACAAACACGTCTCTCTGTTTATCTTCTTGAGTCGATAGGTTTTTCCTGTGCACAACCTCTGCATACATAACGCCCTCTCATATGCGACTCTCCTTCATACCAAAATTTCCTTCTGGACAACCCAACCACTCAATTCTATCACGACTACAGCATTTCACTTTAAAGTGTTTTGATATCAATTATCAAACCTGAAAGCCTGCACTATCCTGAAGCTACACTACACCATAACGTGTAAACACTTGGTAGACCGTGGTGTTGCAAGTATCCCTTTGAAGCCCCTTATATGTTTTTCTCATGTCGTGCTTTCGCAACGCGTAATTTGTCTATCTAGGCAACACTTTCTAATGCTCTTTCTCCAGTCTTCACAAAACCTCATCATCCAGATTTTCTTTCTGTTTCGACACAACCCTTCCCAATTATTCAGAGGACTCCAGAACAGAGAAAATGGCGTCCTATGATCAGCTCAAAGAGCCTACTGGCGAGGACTATACTCTTACCTTCGATGTAGGAGCATTGGGCATTCCGTTGGACAATGAGCCGTTCATACCTGTTGAAATGCATGACCAGGTTATCGATTTCCCCCATCAGAACCCCAATGAAATTGACATAGCCTACCCGGAGCACATGCTTAATAAATACATCGCGTCAGAGACTTGCAAGGGTCTGGAGAAACTTCCAAAGATCAATCACTCTAATCTTGCTTCCCCTGTTCATAACCCCGACCACACCCAGGTTGGCAATACATCGGATTACGAGCAGTACCATGCTGAATTCTTTGGTATGAACTCCGAACCCGATTCCGAGGACCCTGTGCCGGGACCTGTGCATGAACCTGAGAAGGAAAGTCAGTACCCGGAGGCTTACATGGACCCGCGTCTTCTCATGTACGATCCTGTCTTTTGGATCTGCCCCGAGCAGGGAAATAACAGTCCTAATATGTCATCAATGCCGCAATCAAGCACCTCGGGACTCATTAAGGACATCCAGGCCATGGGTGAGTTATTAATTTGTTACATTATATTGTCATCCAGAGAAGCTGATGACTATACAGAGCCTTTGTTGGCCCAGCAGTCTTGGGTTTCCTATATAGCACCAGCGCCCTGCACGAAGCCAGCATCCTACACAGAACCGACATCCTATACAGGGCTAACATCCTGCCCGGAGCCGACATCCAATACACAATCAGTATCCTATATGAACCCGGTCTCTTATCCTAAACCGGTGTCCCATCCGGAATCGGTGTCTTATCCGGCACCCGTATCTTATGTGGGGCCCGTCTCTTATCCGGAGCCAATCTCTTATCCAGAATCCGTATCTCCCCCGGAGTCAATGCCCTATACGGAATCGGTATTCCGGCCCCAGCCCCAGCCCCAGCCACTGGAAGGCAATAGCTCGCTCCCCTTCCGCTTGCGCCCCAACCCCATCACCACGCCTGCTTCTCCCGCTCCTAGCACTTGTGTCCAGAAGCGCAAGTACGAAAGTTACTACTTCGATAAGGCTCCTGCAACGCAGTACGGACAAACGGTGGGGCAGTTTATTTCTCAGTATCAAGCTCGCTCCAAGACCCCCTGCACCGAGCCGGTGGTTAACAGTCCTGGCTGCAACCAGTCCCAAATGAGCCTATCCCCTCAAGAGCAAGAACGGCCAAGCAAGAAGGCCAAGGTTCCCAGTGGGCAAGAAATAAATGCCAAGAATCTTTAAGAGATACGTGTTGTGAACAGTGTGAGAAAGGTTCCATGCACCGGGAACACTGCGATAAGGGGAGGATTTCGATTTCTTTACGCTTGGTTTGCGCCATACTTACCTACCTAAGGTATGCATTTGATCTTAAGACAAGATCGCGAGGAGGAATAACGAGATGGCTGATGGACGGTAAAACACATGGCCTCCAGTAATGTTGCATAAAGCAACAACGGCTTTGCATTATTGATTTTTTCTCTTTTTTCTATTGCTTTTCTTTCCTGGGATTTATAAAGCTCTCTCCTTTCTACGGGATTATTTGGCAAATGGTGCCAAACGAGATGATCACCCGGACAAGAGGATAACTAATGTGTAATATTCAAGAAATTGCGATGCTTTTCGTTTCGTACTCTTCAGTCATTCTTGTACTTGCAGGTAGTGGTCACTATTCTCTGGCGCACTATCCCGCACATATAGCAAATGCGATGTTTTTTTCTATGTGTTCATAGTTGACAATAGAGTTCTTAAACCGTGAATTTCAATCTCCATGTCTCATCTCTAAGTTATAGTACCTAATTTAAAACCAACAGACATTTTACGTTTACATTGTTAGCCTTGGAGCTTCATGAGTTTGGTAACCGTGAGAATTGGCCAGAAGGGGATACAACTAGAAATCCGATTTAATTATTTGATGGACTTGTTTTCAGTTCCTAACAAGCTTTTCTAAAGCTATATTACATCTGAGACCGCAGCTACATCCTGAACTTTCTTTGTGGCATTATATTTTGAATATTTCAGTAATACAGAAGATTGTGGTTGACATCCCTAATCTCACATCAACGTGGTTAATCTTGCACACGTTTAAGCAAATTCATTCTAAAGGAAAAGCTCAGAGATTTTCATGAAGTTTTGAAAGCAGTTATAACTTAATCTGTCATCTCAACAGGAGTATAGTGAAGGTTAGTTAATAGAATCTGTCAAAGCCTAACTATAAATACTTAATCATTCCAATTATGAAGATTTTCAACTGCATACAAGCCATTGGCGTTTCAATGCCGCTTCAGGTAGTCCTCTGAAAAGAACCATGAATCAAAGGAACCAAACTCAATATACATAAGATTGCTAGATAAAAATAACCCAACAAGATACCTTCTCAAGAGTTTGGAGTACGAGATAACTAAGAACTTGGAGAATATAATAACCAAATTTGACTATTAAAACTAATATCAAGAACATCATCTTGAAAAGCAAGCATGATATTTACTATGTTTGTATCAAGCACTTCTAGTTTGCAGATGGAATCCCTTTCACTGCTTCCATGTCTTCAAACTTTGCTCGATACAAGGTATATATTAATCTCTTCCGTAGTCTAGGTAGTCCAGTTGTGTTTCACTTTTACTTCCATTCTAGAACAGATAAACTTTGTCGCACTCTTATAATATATGGCATTCATAGTGACGAGCTGCTTATTCTAGCCAGCATAGATAGTATATTAGGTTTATCAACCCTTTCGAAATAGCCATACTGCTGAATATACTTCAGCTCCCAGGTTTAGGGGTAATGGTTTATGGGGATCAAGTACCTCCTTCACCTGTACCTGGGTACCCGGTGCATGTGTCACGGATCCAGCCCTACTGAGTGAGCTCACTGCATTACCTACTTCCCTATGAGCTAAGCATCTACCTACCTTATAAGGTAATCTATCCAGTATACGTACCATGACTCAAACTTACAATCTTGATGATACACTGTTACATACACTCAGATCTTTGCCCTCTTATTTGACTGATCGTACACGGTACGTGACAGTTACAGAATTTCTTAGCTATCAGTTGTCAACACCATCAAAATGTCCGTCCACATATTGGCTGACGCGTTAACAATATCCATTCAAAGTGACTCAGGAACATCACTACACAGTAACGTACATTTGGGCAGGTAGTCCTGGTAGGCCCACTGGACACAAACAAAATAATCATCATCATCATACTAGGTTAGGTCCTTACGCACCTTAATCGTACCTATGTACATATTATGTTCGTACCTACAGTTGTACCAGTGACTCCTATGGTAGTCGTCACTATCATCCATGTGCATTGACCCCCCTTCCCCCCCTATTAGTATATAAACACCCGATGCCTGTCGCCTCTTCAGCTTTTTTATTCTTTCCTACTTACACTCTGCAGTACAGACGAGCACTCCATCAGATAACTCTTTCTTCTGCCAATATCGCAAGCACTGGTCTTAATAACCACCAACCTTATTCAACACCCTGCGTTGCCATCAAAGCAATCAACCGTCTATACCTCAGGCTCATCACTATTGTCACTCGAGAGAAGGCTAGCACGCTTCCAAACAATGGCGAATAAAAGTTCAATGGGTTACAAGAAGGGATCGCGGGAGAACCCTATTTCTCTCGATGATGATCCTACCTCGGATCACAGCCAACATGGGCAGAGCCGCGGTGGTGCAGGTTCCAAGCAATCAACCACCTATTCCCAACATGGCCAAGGCAAGGGCAAGTCAACGGCTTCTACCTCCAGCCATCAGAAGAAACAGTCTGCTTCTGTCTCCGGAACTCGCCACGAACGTAAGTCTTCTATGTTAGAATACTATTTAAACGAATTGACTAGGTACTGACGATCTATCAGCTTGGAGATATGGCCCATCCGACGAAGATTTCTTCGCCCCGGAAGCTCGGCCGCGAGGTGACGGCAACTATGGCGCATACCTTCTACGACAAAAGCTGCGCAACGGTTCCGAAGCTAAAGAAGAAAAGGACCCCCTAGACATGTCGGAAGAGGATGAGGCATGGTTAGTAGGCATCGACAGTGACGAGGACGAAGAAATTAAGCCTAAGAAACGGGGAAAGAAGCAGAAGGGGCCTGCCCAGAAGCGGTGGAAGCCTGCTCGGGAGCCCAAGGTTAGCAGCTCCAAAGCAATGGACCATTTGATGGCTCGAGTGACAGATAAGAGCCGACGGGATGATTGAGCAAGCAAGAAATGAGATCTTGGGAACATTAGGGGTGGGTCTACACATTGATAGTAGAGCCATAAACAACACCTGGCGAAAGAGTTGTGGGACAATATAAAATGTTCATGCCACGAAGATGTCATAATGGCTTAAGTACCTAAAGTAATATTAAGACTGCTAATGAGGCTCTTTCCACACCACTTTATATGAGGAGGCATTAAGTATTGCTCAGAAGGATAACATATGCTATCTAGCATTATATTTCCTAGCTATACCTTTCAATAAACGGGTATTAAAGACTTTGAGGCTTGCATACCGCCTGATATGTATCAAACTTCAGGCCTCAAATTTATTCTATGCTACACCGGCTAATACCCAACACAGCAAATCTATATTCACCGATTACTTTAGATAAATCCTGGTACTGGTACTGGTACTGGTACTGGTACTGGTACTTTGCACACCTACCATGTAACTAAGCTTCTAACCTAATATTCAAATTCAAAGGTTTTCATTAACAGGTACCTACCTAGGTAGGTAGTTGCCTAATTCCTAAGGAAATTGCCCTGTATTATGCCTTTCTAATCCACAAGGAAGGTAAGAAGGCCGGGGGCATTTATCTCATTACGCGTACTTTCCTCAGAAAGTTGCCGTGACTACCTTGTCGCGCCTACCTCAACGTAGTTACCTTGCCGTAACTGCCTTAAGTACCTGTTTCAACGGTACAAAATATGTGCGTTACTAGGACAATATTTCGAATCGTATTGGCGCGTGCACCGCCAAAGAGCGTTCCTGCCTCTAAATGTGTATTAAAACCTTTATCCTACTCTCGTATAAATATCTAACCCTCCTGATCTTTTCACACTTCCGTCTTCTCAATTTCTTTTTTATTTCTTCATCACATAACCAACATTAACATAACACATTAACATGTCCTCTACTAAATGACTTCTAACATTATAATTTTCACTTCGACTTTATTTCCACCCCTTCATCATACTATTCAAACAGTTAAAGCACCCAACAGCCGCATACAAAAATCCTTAAGGTTTCACTAACAACCAAACACATCTTAAATACCTACATTATAACCAGTAAATAAACTTACACCAATTAACTTTCATCACCATTTGAAGCCTCTCATAGCAACGGCTGAATCCCAACCTCACAGCCCTCGTTGTCTCTATAGGCGAGGCTCTCCCTATCCCCTCCCCAGGGGCCTCTCCTTCGGCGGTTGGCGCGACCAAGGGGGTGAACAGTAAGTACCAAACCTAGTGGAAGCAATGCATCAGGACCTAATTTACATTGACAGATGATGGCAATAGCTGGGTGCCGATTTTAATGCGGTCAAGACATCAATGTTGTAGCCCACACCAGCAGTGTTCAAGGCGAGGTCGTTCTCTTGAACAAGCCAGTCTTTACGCCACCTTCCCAGGATAGCCAATTGTGGAAGAATATCCACAAGATATACAATCTTGTTCAAGCCGACGTCCACATAGGTCCCATGCTCTGCAAGAATGGTCTAGATTTTGATTTCTACGCATTAAGACGCGCTATAGAAGCTTTATTTCAACCAGTTAATTCCTTTCCCCCTCCACTTTTAAAATCATCATTACTCTATTCAAACAACAAATACTACTTATTATTATTATTGCAACTACTTTTGCAATCCATTATTATCATTAAATTATTTCCTAGCATGGATCAAGGTATGTCTCTTAACCTAGACAAGTTGTTATACTATTGCTATGTATAGGTTGCCGGCTGACAATTTGCTTACTTTCAGGAGACTATTACATAACAGCCCCCAATTCCAATACAACTCAAGGTGCTGTTAATATCATGCCCGTAACAATCAATAATATAGTTGCAACTAAATCTATAGCTGTGTTGGCACCAGACTACCATGGCTGCTATGGATGTACATGGACAATGGGCCAGGTGTTCCAACAGTTACGGTCAGGTCATAACGTTTAAAGATGCATCTTACAGGCTGTTATAAATGTGGCAAGCAAGTTTGCGAGTTTTTATTTATATTCCGGGAGCCGGCTGAGGTTTTCATGGTTCGGTTCATCACAGGACTAGATGGGTTCGTCAACAGGCATGGAACACTATGGTTGGGAATTGGCCAAGGAAGGAGATCATGTTGGACGATTCAAACAAACGGTTGATTCGGTTAACTAGTTCCAATGTTCGGGTTCTTCAAGTAATTGGGAACTTGACGCCAATTGATACGAGATGCCTTTTCTACCAGCATTAATACAAAATGAGTAGTAATAATACTGCAACTCAGAAATTCATTTTTACTCCTTTCTCATCAAATCAACATGACCTTATCAGTTTTCAATGGCTACAATATCTATCAGGTTAGCCGGTTACCGATTAGAAATTGAAAGAGGTAATATTTGATCAACCAACATGGTGAGTTTATTATGATACGCGGTTATCATTACGTAGTTGGCTGACAGGGGGGATATAAATACAACAGGTGACGTTAAAGCCAGTCGATGGGATGATGATGAGGGTAAAGTTGGCGTAGTATAGCTATAGAGCTAAGGTGGCACGACGTAGTCGTAGATACTAAGGCATACCCGTTTCTGTTCGGATGAGATTTTTGAACGCCAATGTCAAAAATGTTTCTGTCCTAGCAACCGCTATGTGGAACAATGCTATTCCCTTGGGTTGTCACGATTCTCATGCAATAGTTTGGTGGCCGTGTATCGTGATAGGACGATCAGAGACCATTTCCTAACTCAAATAACTGATTTGTTCTTACAATTAACCTTCGTATTGTGATTACTACAACAACATATCCAAAAATCAACTTGAAATCATAAAAAAGAGTTAAATCATTTTTTGTACACTATTGACCTTGGAATTCTCCCTTTACAAGCAGGCAATTAAGTAGAAAGTAAATATGTTTCCCCTTAAACAAACTACCTAGTTCTACTTTTCAAGAAAGCCATTTGCGAAATAAGCATACCTATTAAACATACCTATTAAGCAAATCTTAGTTGCATGAGCTTGGAAAAAGGAAAGATTACCTAATATATGACTTTAAGACCCCGATTATCAGATTGTTGACATTACATCTCCAATAATGTAACAATATATAACAAGTATTTTTCACCACATAGTAATTGATAATACGATAGGTATCGGTGGTTATTATTTCAATACTTTCACCATTTAAGTCAAATTTGACTTAAGCTTAACAGGACGTGAAGTTTTACAAGGTATAGAAACTTCAGTTAACTAGATTTATCCTTTTGGTATGTTTATTACTATGTATAAGCAATCCATCACCAGCAAACTAGTAGAGAAACTTGAGACAAATACACCACTGACTTAACAATATAAATATCAGGCCAAGAGATATATTTTGCAGGTCTAAAATGGTCCAAGCCAGCATTTCTTGGGAAATATACTTCTGAAAGCTCCGTTCTAACTTCATTTCCATCTTAAACTCAGATATTACCGCTAATTATAAGCCCAGGTCTAAGGTTTATTCTATAGACTATCTCTTGAACAACCTCTCGTAAAAATTCAACCAAAGAAACTAAATTCACTCCGTATATGCCGAACTATAGTCAAGATAGTGTATATTAAAGATATCATTATAAACTCCCAAATGTCACAAGATTAATGGTATCGAGGCCGACTCTATACAGAGTGATCGTTGCTCAGTATATTATTATACAAAACTACCTGTAGACTGCTATTTATTTTTGCCGGTATATTACTACGTGTTAAACCTATCGATATCATGAAAATTGGAGATAATAACACTCTTGTGAGGGTCAAACATTGAATAACAACATTGACTATTGCCGAATTTCGGCATTTCGGTCTTCTGTTTGTTTTCTATATTGCTCACGGCAACTCCTACTCTGTCATCACGGACCTATCCCTACTAAGTGAGCTGGCTCACTCTCTTACTCAATCAGTTCAGCATCCATGGGGTGATATTTTACTTTACGTACCTAGGTACTGTAGGTCATACTTACAGCTGCTTAGATATTACAACCTTCGTATGACTAACAGTACCTAGTACGTATTATCATTCCCGCCCACTGATCGAGTCATCTTATCCATAGTCAGCCAAATGATTCCTTGGAATCCGGTACGTATCTGAAATACTCTGGAGAAGTAGGTACCTAGGTACGTATAAACGTCGTTCGTAATCGTGAGTTGTTCAAGTCGGGTAGCTACTAGTATTGATTGTCTAGAATCACTGACGATGGTACCATAAGTACGAACCTTCATTGCAGCCGCCCAATAACTTATCTTTGCAAGCTCATGACATACTAGTATAGTACCTAGGTACATACCCTTTTACCAAACTCATTGTCGCCTTCTGACAATCGTTTGGTATAATCGTTACTACCTCCTAGCGACTTTCCTGACCCACTATGTCTAACAGCCTTCTAATAAGTCTCCTGATTCATCATGTTTGCCCCCTCGATATGCGATTCCATCCTCGAGTCGGCAGCTGGTATGGTCCATGCACATGCCTTGAGCTGGATAACTCGTAGCAAACTTCTCGCTTGCCATAGTAATGGGTAGTATACATGTCATGATATCTACTAGTCTAGGTGTTAGGTTCGTACGTACCTATGTAGGTACGTAAGGTACGAACATACTGATAGGTGGTACGTACAGGCCATTAGAAATCTATATAAACATCGGACATCCCCCAGCCAGTAGCTCAATTCCAGTCTTTCTCTCTCATCATAGAACAAGTACAACCTGCTTCTTCTTCACTGGTGCCTCAACCATCCAACTGGCATACTACTCCATCATCACAAAGCCACACCTACCTTGTGCAATAACCCTTTCTACTCTACTACTCTTACTACCTCCCAAGAGATCAACAAGCATCCATCATCATGCCTCGCGATCTTAAGAAGGGCTCATCGGTAAGACCGATTGCACGAGATGACGATGACGTCTTTGCCCCTTCACAGGGGAGCCGAAGTATGTACATTGCATTGTTCCCCACGATTTGAATTGATGATTTTCTAACAATATTTTACAGAGGGTGCAGGAAAGTCACGGAAGCACTCGAAGAAGTCCGCACAGGACTATGACTCTGATGAGTCTGATTCTGACTCTGAGTTCTACAAACCTACCCAACGAGAGCTTAGAGAGAATGGCGTACTCAAGTACAAACCTCGCGCTATGGATCACCTTATGGTGAAAGTAGCAGGAGTCAACATCAACGATGAATCCGACTCGGACTCCGACAAGGTCAAGAAAGCCAAGAAGGCCAAGAAGGCCCTGAAAGAAGAGGCCGACAAACAGGCTCTGAAGAGACTCGAGCGTCAGGAAGCAAAGGCACACCGGGAAGCTATGAAACAGTTTGCTCAGGCTGCAGACTCTGATTCCGACTCGTACAAGGCCAAGAAGGCCAAAAGTGACAGAAAGGCCATGAAGGAAGAGGCCAACAAGCTGGCCCTGCAGAAGCTCGAGCGTCAGGAAGCAAAGGCACACCGGGAAGCTATGAAACAGTTTGCCCAGGCTGAAGACTCCGAACTCGAGAAGCCTTCGAAGAAGAAGGGTAGCAAGTACCATTCTCGGGCTGCAGACTCCGAGTCCGAACTTGAGAAACCCACTAAGAAGAAGGGAAAGTCCATGTGGTCAAAGTGGATGTAATGAAGGGCCTTGAGACGCAAGGTCTTCAGGCGATACAGGGACATCTCAACAGGTAAGCTATTAACCATACAAGATTACTTAATAATACAAATACTAACTCTATAGATGAACCTTGGGACTAGTTGGCTCAACCCAACTATCGGCAGGACTCGGTGGCCAATGGTATTGCGGTGCTTTGTTTTCTTTGCGGTGGATCGAGGGCATGAAGGTTGTGCGAGGACAGGAATCGGGATAGGTCCTGATCTTCACGAGGACGGGATAAGTCAGACATCACTGCTATGTTCTTGACTATGGCACTCCGACACTACATCTATTTCTTTGCTGGTTGAGGCTATTTTCGTGTTACTTTACACATCAGATAGACCTCACCATATAAATCAACACCCCTCTCATTATACAGTCCCATTCCATAAACACCGTGTGATCTAATGTGAAGTGATATGCATTAATGTAGGTTATATTATATAACTATTATGCATAAGGTACCTGTTAAAAGCTTTCCCTTTGGATAACCTTCTTGATTAGAACAATTTTAGCAGTGTGGGTTCACCGGTTGTGGGTGATAGTCCCTCAATTTGACGTAACGGCTGTTATATCGAATATTTCCCCGCTTGAGACTTAACATATTGTAGTAACTATATCTCTACAACTCGTCTTGCTTCGATAATATAGAGATTTATCCTCGTTAAGTTGTACATGCCCCTATCTTACGTAATCGTGGCAGGTAAAATCGTCGCAGGATATTTAACAGCGCACAAATGGACCTAATTAAACGAACCTAATTGAATGAACTTGGGTAGAACCTCCGATTGCCTGGTAATTTCTGAAATACTAGAGTACCATCATAGGTAGGGTTACTTTTTAAATTTATAATTGCTTGAAGCACATATTGTAAGTCTTAGGTGGTAGACTTTTGAGTTGAGCCTCAAGGTTGAAGTGAAGTGAATTGGTCCTATTTTTAAATTACGGGCCGGCCTGCAATTCTCCACACCGCCTAGGTACATCAGCCACGGTAAAAGTCAGCCACAGCTTCCTAGCTTATCGGCAGAAAAAAAAAAGTTCTGAAGATTAAAGTTATCAGTCGGAAAAGTTCACATTTAATCGCAATCAGCAATCAGCCAACCAAATACAACAATTCCCAATTGAAACCACAACTATGGGTAAGAGCAAGCTGAAAGTTGCCCTTGCGGCAGAGAAGGGAGTTGACTTCAAGAAATTGAAGGAAAAGAAGAAACATAAGGAAAGAGTTAAGAAGAGGCAGGAGAGAGAACCTAAGAATGGTGGGGCTGCTGATGAAGACGATAACGACTGGGAAGGTGTCAATGAAGACGAGGACGAGGTTGAAGGTGGCGCGGGACTCATAGACGACGAGGCCGAAGAAGATGATGACGAGGACGAAAATATCGACCTCGCCGCCTTAGATGAAAGCGATAGCTCCGACTCGTCGATAGATCTCGAGGAAAAGATAGAGCGCCCGCGAAAATCTGTATTAAAAGCGAAGAACGCTAAGGCAAATGGAAAGAAGATTGCCGACGAAGATGAAGATGAAGAAGAGGATGAGGAGGAAGACGACGAAGACATACCAATGTCCGATCTAGAAGATCTACCTGACGACGAGAAGGAAGACCTTGTCCCACACTCACGCCTCACCATCAACAACACCTCCGCACTCCTCGCCTCTCTAAGCCGCATATCCATACCCACCGACAAATCAGTCCCCTTCGCAACACATCAAAGCATAGTCAGCATTGAGCCCACCGCCGGCAGCATCGAGGACATCCAAGATGACCTAAAACGCGAACTCGCCTTCTACGCGCAAAGCCTTGACGCCGCAAAGCGCGCGCGCGCACTACTCAAGGCCGAAGGAGTCCCGTTCTCGCGACCAACCGACTACTTCGCCGAGATGGTCAAGGACGACGGACACATGGAGAAGGTCAAGGCGAAACTAGTCGAGGATGCGAGCGCCAAGAAGGCCTCCGCCGAGGCCCGCAAGCAGCGCGATCTCAAGAAGTTCGGCAAGCAGGTCCAAGTCGCTAAGCTCCAGGAGCGGCAGAAGGAAAAGCGCGAGACGCTCGAGAAGATCAAGACGCTCAAGAGGAGTGAGTGCCTCTATGAATTTTATTAATGTTTACTTTGCTATGTTTTCACTATACTAACAATATTCTCCAGAACGCCAAGAATCATCCGGCGACCTCGGCACCACCGAGGCGGATCTCTTTGACGTTGGCGTCGATAACGAGATAAGTAAGCACAATGCCCAGCGTGCCTTTTCACGTGGCAAGGACGGAGAGCGTGCCGGTCCCAAGCGCCAGAAGAAGAACGAGAAGTACGGCTTCGGCGGCAAGAAGCGCCACGCCAAGTCTGGCGATGCCGTCAGCTCTGGCGACCTGAGCTCCTTCAACGCTCGCAAGATGAAGGCTGGTGGCGCGAGGGGTGGAAAGCCGGTTAAGCCACGTCTAGGCAAGAATCGGAGGAACGCGGGCGCTGGTAAGCGGTAGTGTATGAATAGGGGGGTTGAGCTGTTTGTGGCAAGGGATAGGGAGAAGTCAGATTTCGGACTTGGGATAAAAGCATAATTGTAGTAGAGATACCAAAGTAGCCTCACAAATCAAGGAGTTATATCTACGGAAAGAGAATTCATCTTGATCTGCATTGAAAATCTTGTCATTTACTTGATTAATTGTATAAACGTGCATTATACACTGTTTCGGAGTATTGTCTCTCGTGCGTAATGGCTAGTCTAAGCGCGTCTATACCATATGCAAAAGCCCAGTGTTACAGCCAGTAGTCTGCAGAATGATGCTCTTTTCAATATATACGAGCCCTCCTAGATCATACATGACTTCCATCTACTTGCGTTTAGAAATCCTCTTCTGCGCCCTAAGCTCCTTCTTCATCCTAGCATCCACAATCTTATACCTGCCCTTAACACCCTTAGGTCGGCCTTTGATACCTCTATTCAGACCCCTAGCGACGACCAGCTTAGCAGGCTGCCTGTTAGGCTTCTTCTTGGCAGCCTTAGCCAGCAGCTTGGAGATGCTATCGGCCTTCTCCTTCTCCGTCATACCCTCCTCGCTAGCTAGCAGATCCGACTTCTTCTTGATCTTCTCGAGGCGCTGCGCCGCCTTGAACTTCTTGCGCGCCTTGGCCTCGCGGACCTTCTTGATGGGTCGCGCGTTCAGTGCGCGCGTCTTCTCTTTGATGGCAGCTGCTGCGGCCTTCGTGATAGGCTTTTGTGGCCTGTCATGTTTGCCCTCGTCGTCTATAAACCAGTCAGGTAGACCGTCGCGATCCCGGAAGGCCCGCTTGTTAAAGCCGTCATCTATTACGTCGTAGTTAGTCTTTTCGCCTGTGGCGAGTTGATGCGCGAGCGTCATAGCTTCAGCGGTGATGATGTCGATATCTATTATACTTGTTAGCATATGATGTTGCGGGGTATAGAGGATACATCATTCTTACCCAGTGTCCCATCAGCTCGGCGTTTGTCTTCGTCTTCCCAGCGTTCCTCCAGATCTTGATCTTGTTTGACAACTTCAAATCCATCCTGATCATCTTCAGATTCGGACGGCACCTCAACCTTAGCTTTCTTTGACTTTTCCTTTTTGGCCTTCGTCTTCTCCTTTGTTATAGTTACCGGTTTCTGAACTTTGGAGCACTCGTCCTCGTCTATGTCCATTTCATCATCAAGGATACCTGGTATATCTTTGAAGATATCCTGACTGAAGAAATTCGCGGCTCGTTTTGAAAGCCCGCCGGATCCCGCCGGTTGGTTATCTAAATCAGTGAGGAGCGGTTTTGAGGGCTCCGAGTCATCATCGTCAGAATCGTCACTGCTGTCCTCATCCAGCTCGCCATCGTCGCTGGACTGTTGTTCGTCCGCTGACACTCCTTCCCACTCATCATCGTCGTGCTCTTGCCTGGCTTTTTTCGCCCGGTATTTCGCGTCTGACTCTGCTTTCCGTTCCCTGTATTGATCGTACATGCTATCAAGTTCGCGTTCTAGACGGTCTTCCTCTTCATCCTCTTCGTCATCCGTTTCACCCGAAGATCCAATACCACTATCTCTGTCTTTCCTAGCCTCTGACTCACTAAGGATGGCCATTTTTCCTTTTACGATTTTATTGGCAGCTCCGTGTTTATCGATGGGCTTAAGAGCAAACATAGAGTCGGGACCAGCAGGACCATCTTGTTCCATACCGATATCCATAGGGGCAACCATGTGCAATTGCATCCGTACGATCTCCTTTTGCTTCTTCTCATTCTCTCTCCGTCGTTCACGTTTCTTCTTGGAGCTGTCTTTATCTTTCAATGCCTGCAACTCTTCCTGAATCTTCAATTCCTCGTCCATAGGTTCGACTTCCGCAACTTCCTCCTCGGGCTCGGCGGGTTTCGTGGTCTTCTTAGTCGGCAAACCGAAAGCCTCGCGGGCTTTTAATCTCCACTTCAGTAGAAGCTTGAATTCTCTCCGGCCTAAAACCTTCAAGTCTGCGCAACATATTCTAATTTCTTCCGTAGTGTCTGGCATTTTCTCCAACGCGGCGAGCGCCACATCGCCGTTGCGTGGTTGCTCGAAAGAGAGCTTATTATAGCTACCAAGTATAGCTATAGGATCAATAGTCTCGATGAATTGGCTTGCGGGGATCTCTTTGAACTGGGTATAGTCGCCCTCTTCATAACCTCCTCTCTTCCGCTTCTTTACCTCGGGCTTGAAGACCTTGGCCTCATTATTCGGGGCCTGCTCTGCCAGTTCGGCGAACACTGCACGTGGGTCGAGGAACCTCGGATCGAGATGTTTAGGAGCCTTGAAGCCACGACATACGACAAAGATTTCAGCGGAAACGTTTCTCGAAGACGGGGGTTTTGTCGACTCGACTTTGGTAAATAGTTGGTTGAAGACCCAGAGGAGTTTGTTGTACTCTTTCGACCTGAAAACCTTGGTAACGAATGTACCGCCCTCGATGAGAAACTCCGTTGCCAACTTCATAGACTGGAGAACTAGC